AAAAAGTTACAGTGAATGACTGAATGTTATCATGATTGGAAAGTCACTAAACTTAGAAGCATTTTCGGTGAACGATAAGCACGGTGTTAGCATACAGATCTTTCCAGATGTCGTCATCACATTTCATGATGGAGTTATAGCAGGTTTCATGGATACCAGCACCTTCCACTCCGAGGAATGATGGTTGGAAGAATGGTTCCGGGCATCGAAATCGCTCGTTACCAACAGTGATAACTTGACCGTCAGGAAGCTCGTAGGCCTTCTCCAAGCTAGGACTGGTTGCTTCAGTATCCGTTTCTTGTTCAAAATCGAGAGCGACATAGCACAGCTTCTCTTTGATATCACGGGCAATTTCTGTTTCGGAAGTCGTGGTGAATGAGTAACCTCTCTCCGTCAAGATTTTCATAAGGTAGTCAGTAAGATCATTCCTGTCATACGACCAGAAGCATACATAGATAATGTGGGCTGGATGGCTACATACATAGCTGGGGTGTCGAAGAATTCAAACATTATCTGTAAAAAATAAAAATATCAATCAATTATTTGTCAAATATTCACTGTTTTAGAATTAAAGTTAACTAGTTAAAAATGCAACTGTTTACAGTGCCACATCTTAATTCCAGGGCATATTAAATTTATTATATGTAGAACACAAAATTTCTAATTAATTATTGATCATGCAACCCAAACACCAATATATTTCTATTTCAGTTAAACTGATTAGGAAAAAAGTTGATATGCATATTGTTGTCTCTTGAATAAAATAATTAACATCAGAAACAACTAGTCGTTCTGGCTGTACTAAGTAATTAAATTTATCGTCAATCTATAAAAGTACAAATATGGCTATTATAATCATTGGTGTGCTTTTTACCTGTGTCATTTTTTCTCGGTTGGGTTTCGGGTTTCTGGGAGCTTCGGTAAGGAGGACGGGTTGTTCTTCTGGTGCTACTCGAAGTTCATTGTCAAATGTGTGACGCCAGATCTGAAACAAATAGAAATTTTATATATATATATATATATATATATATATATATATATATATATATATATATATATATATATATATATATATATATTATATAGAAGAGATTAATAACAGTACTCAGAACGTACTGTCTATTCAAGTGATGAAGTATAAATTCTGGCAGTACGTGACAAGTAGGAGTTGAGTTTGATCAGATGTTGAAACGATGTGATGTGATTGAAGATTCATTCTCCAGTGAGTGTTCTTCGATTCTATAGAAACAGTGATCTGTTTTACCGATTTTTAGTAATTTTTTACGGCAGGACAAATTACGAATTTACTTGTCCTGAATGTAAAAATAATCAAAGAACAATCAATGGACAATAAATCTGAAATCTTCAACCACATCACATCGTGCGAACATTTTCAACATATTCAAATCTATCAGTTCAACTACATATATATCTTGACGTGGAAACTGGAAACTAACTCATTTGAGTCATCTCCACTGAACTTGTGTATTGCCAGAATTTATATTTGATAACTGTAAGATTATAGACAGATCTGATCATTTGAGGGGATTTTGCAGATGAAATTACAAGCGATGAAATTACAATTTGCAGAATGAGGAGCAACGGAGAAAAATGCAATTGTATATATAATCGGCCTCAGCTCAAAGTTCCATCTACATACAAAACCCTTCAACTGTTAGTTCTATATCGAGCAAGATATGATGCCCAAAATATCTAGATCTGGTCATGAAATTGGGAAATCAGTCAGTTGGCCTGCATCGACATTTAGACCCAAGTTACGAAATGTCCACATTACACATATTCTTGTGGGCCAGCGATTGTTATTACAAGTGGGCTGTAACCAATAATCTATTGGCGTTGTAATGCCATTGTATGCAATAAAGTATTGGGTTGTAACTGAAGACAAAACCACAAGCAGTGTGACCAGACTTTTTCAGCAGTCATTACCAAAATTTTGTTCAAATTTTACTAAATTAAGAAAAATTTTACCAAATGTCGGCTTCCCAAATAATTACGTCATGATAATGCCAAAAAACAATAGTTACGTCATCAAAGTAGAAAAAATATTCACAAAAAGTGTCTCGAAATACTTGTTGCTTTCATCGTATTGCAGTTTTTGCTAATGATAAGGTTTTATTTCTTAGGCTTGACAGTTCTGTTCATCACTTTGAGCACGTTATTAAACAAGAAACACACATTTTTACCAACTATTTTTAATAATTCAAACCTTTCAGATTTTACCAAAATTTTACCAAAAGAAACTCATTACCAAATTTTCTTGAAAATTCACGAAAGTTAAAGGCCGGCGGCACAGAATAAGAAGGTACAGCAGAATTGTAACTCAAGCAAGTATCTGTCCGCGTTTTTACAAGCGATTTGTCATCAATCACGCCATCCTGACTAGTACAACCGGCACTTTGTACCTACCAAAACCTGATAAAAACTTCTGGTTGTACTAGCCAGGATGGCGTGAGCGAGTTACAATTTTCGTGGACGTAGAACAATAAGGGAACCGACTCGAGTTACACTTCTGCTGTACCTTCTTATTCTGTGCCGGCGGGGTGGAGGAAACTAGGAAAGGAAAAAAGGCCATCAACCTTATATAGGGTTAGGGGGTTAGAGCTTAGGGTTTGGATTTGGACTAATGTTTGGATTAATTGTAGACCCATTACAACCCAATACTTTATTGCATACAATGGCATTACAACGCCAATAGATTATTGGTTACAACATGCGGAACGGCTGGATTGTTATTACAGATATTCTTCAGTGGGCCAGCGATTGAAGTGTTGATTGCCCATTGAAATGAATATTAGTGGAACGCTACCGTCAGATAAACTGCCTATCTTCTTCTTGATGCTGGAGGTAAGATCACGCGTGTTTATGACATGATTGACTCTTCATGTTTATATTTTGATTGAATGTTCTTCGCATGCGTGAAAGACTGGGATTGGCCTTATTCAAGTTTGACCTCAAATTTCCGGTGGGAGGTAGCGTTCCACTTCTCAGTTCATTTCAATGTGCTTGCCTGCCAAACATTGTTTTGCGTACTCAAAACACACAAGTCAAGTATATTTCAGGCTAGATGGCATCCTTGCAACACTTCCCTGGTTCCCAATTTTTCTTAAGTAACGTTTTTTGACGTTGAACGTGATATTTCGTTTTTCGTAGATCTAAATTGGGAAATTGCTAGCTAAACGTAATTGGAAAACCGGCGTATTTTGTAACTGTAGCTCACCCCTTGCCATTGGTCCTTATTGCTTCAAGAATAGTCACCTGCCATTTGACGTTTTAATCCTGAACTTTATCACGGACCTCATAATATTTAACTAATTCTTTATTAATATTAATCTTTTGATTCTCTTCTCCATGTATATATAATATCACATTACTTTAATCTCCACACCTATACATGTTGTTGTAACGTAACCTAGCATGATTCCTGATGATGAGTAAAACGTAGTAGAAAGCTAGAATATATTAAGAACGTAGTTACCGTTGTGTTGTTTACATACCTGATCCATTATCAAAAACTACAGTCGCATCGTCGTCTGCCATTTTTACAACAAACTTCGAATGTTAAGTGATTCTAACGTACTGTCCACCTTTCAGTAACAAGCTGCTGCAACAAGCTAAGCTATGGAAGCAAAATGATTCTTTCAAAAGTTACAGGCAAACCGGATGTTTTTTTGCAAGCATCTTTGCAATGTGCGTCATAACATTGTAATGTTGATGTGAAAATTGCTCGGATCAGTGCAATTACCTTTTCGACCAGTTCGTAGAGCGTCGGCGCGTGGCCAAATGCACGATCTTTTGTTCCTCATTGTATGTGCTCGCCAAAACAGCAGTTAAAAACAGTGCATATAAAAGTTGAAAATGAAAATGAAACTAAATCAGTAAATGACATAAAACAGTGATCAGTGAATATTGTGGGTAGAATAATATATTCATTCGAGCGAGATGCCACTGACAAAAAATCTTGATATTGAATATTGTGCTGCCTCATGGCCAGTTTATAATTATGGCAAACGAGAGCGTGTTTTATTGGAGCGAAAAGACACTCATGAAAATTTAACAAAAACAAACATTCGAAAACTACAAAAGCCGGGTAAGGACTTCAGACTTCGGACTTCGGACTTCAGACTTCAAACATTGGTTCCGAGCTTCGCTAATTGCCAACATAGCTTTTGCGAAGCTGGCTAATATAGTATTATCAATCAAAGCTATTCAAACTAAAGTAAAAAATGGTAAGAACGATTTAGATTGTAAATGCATGATTGGAATATCATGTTCTAGATATTTACATTGCTGAAAATCAGAGCTAAATCGGTTTACATAAAAAATGTAAGCCAAATAAACTAACATGTCTCGTTGTTTTATAGGAGCTACTGTGCCTCAGGATATTTATTTTGATCTTAATAACTGGAAAATTTTTAATTACATCTTGTCAAGTTCTACCACAATACACTTTCTCTCATTTGGAAGGAATCGTGCAAGATCCACCTGGGCGAGATGATTTAATTTGCAGTTATTTTTGGGAAGGATTGTCCTATAGCGAAATCGTTGTCACCTTGTATTTTACCTTGTTACATGTTTTTTTGTTTTTTTTTAATTTAATAAATTTGCCCAAATATCATAACCATTTACAATAATAATTACTAATATTATATTAGATTAGATTAGATTAGCTTACAGAGGGCTAGAGGCCATTGGAAACCTGTATATGTTTTTATTCATGACCCCTAGTTTTATCGTACTTAGTTATAGATGAATAGCATTATTCATTAAGAAAATTTATTATCCAGCTAATTATAATGATAAGGACAGGATGGGTTCTTGATTAAAAATAATATATTTGATGTCAGACAATATAGATTTACAGAAAATCTGTATTGAAAACATACAATTAAGATTTAAAGTTTGTATAATATAATGACCATTGTAAGCAGTAAAGAATAAGGCTATAATTTACAATCACGACAATTTTTAGTTAGAGTGTAGTAGGTACTTTTTAGTTTTCTTTTTGAAAGTATCATAAGATTTAATGTTTTTATGAGTAGAATCCAGATTGTTCCAGATATTAAATCCTTTGTCGGAAAGGGTATGCTTTGCATAATTTGTTCTAGTTTATAAGATTTGTGCAGTTGAGATGAAGTTCTTGTATTATAAATACAATGGTGAATTTCGTCATTTCGACTGAACTGATAATTACTAAATACTTCTGGTAAATTTTCGAGATAATGATATCGAAACATGAATAGACAAATTAGAAAATTGTTTATTTTTTCAAAACTCAACTGGCACCACATTTTTAATTAATTATTCAAAGCTCACTTCTTGTAAACTTAGTATTGTATTTTTTTTTAATTTGTAAATGTAATTACATTTTTGGGCAAATTTTTAAAAAATTATTTTGCCGTTTTATACCATGCAGTATATTTTTTGAGATATTTTTCCCTTTTAACTGTGAAACCGTGAAATAAATTGACCTTGCACTTTTATTACCCACAGGTTTTTTCAACCAACAAATCAACAATGATCCCGCTGCAGTTGTCGCTCAGTCGCTACTATTTAAATTGTGTTGAACAACTTGGCTTTGTACCCAAGATACTGCGTTGTGACTTAGGAACAGAGAATACTAATCTGGAATTCTTGCAACCATTCTTTCGCCAAAATAGCAGCGATAATCTGGCCTCAAAAGTTTTATGCATGGTAAAAGCACAAGTAACCAAAGAATATAATAGCGTGGTGGGGCATATTACGAAGGCAATGTCCTTATTGGTGGATATGAGTCATATCGAAATAAATTCACATGAGACATCGAACTATGACAAAGTATTCGACAGTATACGAGAGTAACGAGGACTGTTTTTGGTCGAGGCTATATTTAGGCCGTCTCCATCCATGTCGCCAGTCCTTCACTGACAAAAGCGTTCGGTTTCTTTATCAGCTAGGTTGGCCATTATTCCCAACTGAGAGTTTATTTCTTCACCTTGCTCCCCTTTAATAATTAAAGAGTAATTGTTTGAATACCATCGCATTTCGAAGGTGTCCATCTCCAGTAGCTTACAATGACCATCAGGCGATGACCATTTTGTCTGTGTCTCGAGCAACTCGTTCATCAGTATTTCGAGATTCTCGAAAGAACCTGTCCATCTGAGCTTTCCTTTTTCAGTAATACTAAGATACTTTACGACATTGTCATTGATGTTGTTCGCTGGCTTAGATTCTAAATTCCTTGTTGTATTCTCTTCATCGCTTTCGGCGGTCAGAGCTCACAAATAAGCGTCGACCCGTCCGCCATGCTTGCTTGCTAATATCTGTACTCATTATTATTAATATTATATTTGAATAAATTGAATTGAATTGAATAGTACTTTTTTGGGGACACCCGGTGTGACGAAACACTTTTTCATCAACGTGAGAATCGGTACAAATTGACACACACAGTATCTTTTTGTATTTTTAATTTTATTCTATTCAATTAATAAAAGTTCCTAAGTACAGTATAATTAATTAAGAGGCGCTGTCACAGTGATTAGTGTTACCCGTGAAATATGTTACTGTTTTTCTAACGTCACTTTGCTAGGGTCATTTGAATATGTAGATTATTTAGAACATGAATATATTAGATAAAAACAACGTGAGTCTGGCCTCATTCGTTTAATGCGTTTCCCACCCAACTAGACGTTTCGCCCGTCCTATTATCGTTCATTTTGTTTGACTGATTTTCGGTTTCTTGCAGAATTTGTAGTGCTGGTGGAATTTAAAACCGCTCGCTTCCAAGCGGAGTTGTGGATGGAGTTGCATGGCGGGTTCATGATCAGTCATTTGGGGGTATTTTTTTCCATTGTTGCCATTGAGTTCGGGTACAACCACGTACGGTTCTGGTATAGCTCCGCTTAGTAGGGTAGGATACGTATTTTTTCTCGTTTTTGACGGCCAACTTGTCTCGTATATGCCCGGGGTGGAGGACATACCATTGGTTGACTAATTATCCTTTGTGATGGTGTTACATCCAAATCGGCGACAGCGGATAAACATAATTTAGTATGGTAATCTAGTAACATTAATTGCTGGACGGAAAGGGATGTGACCTAACGGCCACATTGACGATTAATATTATATCGTATGAGATGTTAATAATATTAACAGTCTTGTTTTTCGTGAAAGATAAAAGAGTGCTCAATACTACAAATACTTAGTACCACATATAATTATATTGCCTAATACCGTTTCTCCCCTTTTACAATTATGAGGCCATAGGGGCCCTTACATAAGTTTTCCCGGGCGCGGTCCGCGCAACCTCTTGGCGGCCCTTTTTCGCCCATTGAGCAGCTTGTCCAATCGATCTTGTTGCTAAATTTATTCATGTCTGTCTGTCTGTCTGTTTGTCTGTCTGTCTGTCTGTAAGTCTGTTATTGTTTATACTTGTATTTTAAATGTTTTGGAATCCCGTTATTGGAGATCGAACTAATAATCTCTGTGTGGTAATTCCAGCCATGTAGCCTATTTTGTAATTAATTTTATGTAATATAGTGTATTGTGTTCAATGGCAAAATCTGTAAAAATAAAAAATAAAATAAAATAAAAATAATATAGCTAGTAGCCTTCGTGTTTAATTATACAATGCGCCCCTGTGGCGGTTCTGGTTGCATCCAACTGAATATAATATATCGTTCCTCACAATTTTAAAAGAAACATACAGAATGTCACTAACACACGGCACCCTTCTCCAGCAAAACTATAAACAATTTGGTTCATTATTTGGAACAAAATTATCTTAAATTTTACAACCGCAGTTCGTTACATGTTTATTTATGTATTTGTATAGGTAATCATGCGATGGCGAGTACAATTAGGGATTAATAGTACGAGTGCAGCCTAGACCTAGGCCTTTACTCGGCTGGCTTTGGCAGGTATCTTTGGCAGGTTTGGTCAATTTCCGGCTAGCATTTGGTAATTATCGCAATGGTCATCAATCTCGTTCCCAGAGTATGCCTGTTCGCGGGTTATATACAGATTGAATGGTCATTTCACAAATCACCTAGTCCCAGTCTTTTCATGTGAAAAAGCGCTGAATATTAATTAAAATATAAATAAAAATTGAAGGCCTAGGTCTAGGCGGTACGAGTCATGTTTGGAAATTTTGCCAAAATTGGACGAGACGCCGGGGCGAGTCCAACGATTATTAGCATGACAAAATTGGATACGTACTTCTCAATGTTAACATCATATTCTCTCGCCAAAGCCCAGTCCTGCCAGACATTCAATGGTGCTTCTGTTTGTATTTTCATTTAGTTCTTTTGTTAAAGCAAAATTTGGTGCTTTTGTTCGTGTTTTCATCTAGTTCCTCCACTGCATTTTCATTTCACATTTGTGTTTAAAATACCTTTCCGCCATTTTGTTTGTTTTGGGAAAATCATAATAATTGTACTCCTCTCAATAAAAAAAATATTTATTCGCCCATAATTTATTCTATATACAAAAACATTTATTATTAACTATGCATTAATGAAGGTTTGGGCTAGAGGCCTACTAGAAACCTAAAGGGTTTTGTTTAAGACCCCTAGACTAATTTATAATTACAAAAAACATTATTTATATATTTAAAATAACTTAAAAAAAACCCAGTTCAATATAAAAGATACAGAGAAAAGATATACATATATACAGATAGGAACAGTTTATGAAGTATAACGGTACATTAATAGTCTAAAATTAGTTTTCATTCGTCAATAAGTAATCTTTGGTTCTTTTTTTGAAAATTGTAGAAGACTTAATCTTTTTGTAATCAACGGAAAGATTATTCCAAACATCAATTCCTTTACATGATGGGAAAGCGTATGTTTGGCATAATTAGTTCTTTCATAAGTTTTGTGAAGATGCGATGAAGTTCTTCTGTTATAATTGTGAAATTCAGAATTAGCTGAGATTGAAGTAATTATCAAATATTTCGGGTAAATTTTCTGAATGATGATAGATATAAATGATGATAAATATACTAGTAAGATAGTAATTTAATTGTTCGATATTTAATAATCGAAAATCTTTCGAATTATCAAATATTTCGGGTAAATTTTCTGAATGATGATAGATATAAATGATGATAAATATACTAGTAAGATAGTAATTTAATTGTTCGATATTTAATAATCGAAAATCTTTCGAATTATCAAATATTTCGGGTAAATTTTCTGAATGATGATAGATATAAATGATGATAAATATACTAGTAAGATAGTAATTTAATTGTTCGATATTTAATAATCGAAAATCTTTCGAATTATCAAATATTTCGGGTAAATTTTCTGAATGATGATAGATATAAATGATGATAAATATACTAGTAAGATAGTAATTTAATTGTTCGATATTTAATAATCGAAAATCTTTCGAATTATCAAATATTTCGGGTAAATTTTCTGAATGATGATAGATATAAATGATGATAAATATACTAGTAAGATAGTAATTTAATTGTTCGATATTTAATAATCGAAAATCTTTCGAATTATCAAATATTTCGGGTAAATTTTCTGAATGATGATAGATATAAATGATGATAAATATACTAGTAAGATAGTAATTTAATTGTTCGATATTTAATAATCGAAAATCTTTCGAATTATCAAATATTTCGGGTAAATTTTCTGAATGATGATAGATATAAATGATGATAAATATACTAGTAAGATAGTAATTTAATTGTTCGATATTTAATAATCGAAAATCTTTCGAATTATCAAATATTTCGGGTAAATTTTCTGAATGCATGATGATAGATATAAATTATGATAAATATACTAGTAAGATAGTAATTTAATTGTTCGATATTTAATAATCGAAAATCTCTGAAAATTGGTTTTGTGTGCTCTGATTTGGCGTAAGATTTGAATGCTACTAATCTTACTATCTTTTTTTTGTATATTTATTAGCCTTTGAATTCTTGTTTTGTATGTATTACCCATATTATGTTGTTGTAAATAAGATATGTATAGACCAAGGATAATAAAATAGCTTGCGAGTATATTCATATTGATATAATATCTACTTTTCGATATTATTGCTGATCAGAAGACTTCGTAAGTTTCTTTTCAATCATGTCTATATGATCACTCCATGTTAGGTGTTCATCAATAATTACACACAAAAATGTAGTTTTTTAACTTGTGCAATGTTTGCATTGTTCAAGGGAATTTTTACATTATAGTTTTGTTTTTTCTTCGAAGATTTAAAGACAATAAACCTTGTTTTTGAGGTATTTAATGAAAGTTTATTGACAACAAGCCAATTGGAAATTTTATCCAATTCAAGCTGAATAGTTTCATTGAGTGTTTTGTGACACTTATCACTATAAGAGATAGTTGTGTCATCCGCAAATAATATAATATAATCGAAATTGATTTACTACAGTTTTGTATGTCATTGATGTATAGCAGAAATAGCAGAGGTCCCAAAATAGAACCTTGAGGGACTCCACTTTTAATTGTTAATTCTTCTGATTTTATATGATTGTATTTAACGATTTGTCTTTTGTTACTTAGATAGTTTTCGAACACTTCTCACACGTTCCTCTTATTCCATAGTGCTCTAATTTATCAATCAATATCTGATGGTTAATAGTATCAAACGCTTTTGATAAATCAAGACAAATTATATACTAACTGTGTAATCATGCATGATTAGAAAGTCACTTAGCTTAGAAGCATTTTCGGTGAACAATCGATGGACCAGATTCATCGTATTCTTGCTTCGAGATCCACATCTGTTGGAAGGGTGGGTGGGAAGCCAAGACGGAGCCACCAATCCAGACAGAGTACCTCCTTTCTGGTGGAGCAATCACCTTGATTTTCATCTCAGGTGGAGCAAGAGCAGTGATTTCTTTTTCCATTCTGTCGACAAAACCAGGGAACATAGTAGAACCACCAGACAGCACGGTGTTAGCATACAGATCTTTCCTGATGTCGACATCACATTTCATGATGGAGTTATAGCAGGTTTCATGGATACCAGCACATTCCATTCCGAGGAATGATGGTTGGAAGAATGGTTCCGGGCATCGAAATCGCTCGTTACCAACAGTGATAACTTGACCGTCAGGAAGCTCGTAGCCCTTCTCCAAGATAGAACTGGTTGCTTCAGTCTCCATTTCTTGTTCAAAATCAAGAGCGACATAGCACAGCTTCTCTTTGATATCACGGGCAATTTCTTTTTCGGAAGTCGTGGTGAATGAGTAACCTCTCTCCGTCAAGATTCTTATAAGGTGGTCAGTAAGATCACGGCCAGCCAAATCAAGACGAAGGATGGCATGAGGCATGGCATAACCTTCGAAGATTGGCACAGCGTGGGAAACACCATCACCACTTTCGAACACGAGTCCTGTCGTACGACCAGAAGCATACAGAGATAATGTGGGCTGGATGGCTACATACATAGCTGGGACGTTGAAGGTTTCAAACATTATCTGTAAAAAATAAAAATATCAATCAATTATTTGCCAAATAGTCACTATTTTAGAATTAAAGTGAACTAGTTAAAATGCAATTGTTTACAGTGCCACATCTTAATTCCAGGGCATATTAAATTAAAAGTAAGCATATCACTAGCCTCTCATCAAGACTGCAAGTTAATATAACTAAACACTATCTGTATGATTAACAATATTTGCCATTATAGAACACAAAATGTATTGATTGTCGAGCGTAGCGAGGCAGCTTACTATTCTTGACGTTACATGACGTTCTTGCTTTTTCGTGCCCAGTCCCCGGCCGAGTTATATTGGGGAAACAGTACTGAATCCATGTCAGTAGGTCGGATGCAAAGATTTTTCGGAAATTGTCGTCTGCTTGAGCATTCGACGACTCTTTGTTTTTATTCGATTTTGATTCGATTTCAATTTATTTTGTATTCTGATTATATGATTCTTCTCAGGATTTAATACAGTTTCATACGAGCTTATTTACATGCAGTGTGTTGGATTTTCACGATGCAAAGGATCGACAATATTTTGAATAATTCATTTTAAGGATAGCTTATTTCTTTCTGGTGATATACATGAAGGCATTTATATTTAGATTTGCTGTTTAGAGTTCGATATAGAGGTATTGAAACGGACATTTAACCAATATGATTTCATGAATTTGCAAATAGCCCACTGATCGTCTTTATATTCGACGACTCTTTGTTTTTATTCGATTTCGATTCGATTTTATCCCCGAGCCAATTTAATAAGATAAGATAAGATGATGTTTAATAGCACAAATTCGCACATAAAGTGAAGTACAAAGTGCTTACATTAAAATACTATAATAATATAAGATTATTTACAATGGTTGTTAGAACAAAGTTAAAATCAAGTCTCACCAGTCACTATTTA